CTCTAAATCGGCACAATACATGCAAAACAAATGAGAACGAATATATGAGAAGATAACGCAACAGAGTTTCAAATGATTCAAAAACTTAAAGTTAATAATTATAAAGATTTCTAAGAACTAATAACCCAGTTGTGGTAAAGTAACGGTAATTAAAGTAAATTAATAATAACTCAATTACATTGTTAGATCCTGGCTGGTTCGGTAAGTTTACATGTGTATGTAGATGTGTTGTATAAGTGTAATGTATTAATGTAATAATGTAAAATAATAGAATAAATTAACAGAATAAGCTGTTGCTATGCTTGGCTTGATCCAGTGTATTACCAGAATCAATAATTTCCAAAAAGGCAATAGCAAATTTTATTGCTTTGAATGTCTTCCAGACAACAATCCATAGATAGGTTCTGCTTAGTACTCAGTCGCATTAGATGCAACAACAACAAAAAGAGGCCTGCTATCAAAAGCCAGCAGGTCTGCCTGCTCAGGCCGTAGAGAAAGATATGGAAATCCGCATTATGCTAAATAATTCTTGTGTTTTGCTATCACATCTATCAACGAAAGATTGATTAGACTTTAATTTCGTTATGAAGACTCAAGCATAAACTTCAGAAACTCTATTAAATGTTGAGTCTAACAATACAGAATTCAAATTTTTTTTTGTGAAACTAAATTAACTTCCAATAGTTGATTATTATACTAATAAGACACATAAATATTTCTGGCTTGCATAGAATTCTCTGTCTGAACTTACCCTGGTTCATCTGCCTGTTCGCCTCGCTTTACCTAAATTGAAAGTCTTATAGTCACATAAAAATGGAACTTGCAAGACCTGTCGCTTGACTTAGTTAAACTTGAGCTTAAAGCCCATCCTTAAATTTATCCTTCGAATATCTTCTTGTCTAAAGCAGGTACCGATCTAAGATTTGAAAGAAATCCTAGCAATAGTCATTGTCGACAAAAGTGAAAACAAATGCTACAAAATAAATTTAGTTATCTTTATAGGACTTGTCTGTGATTGAAAGCCATATTAACTAATCAAAGTAGAACAGTTTCAAAAGTACATAAGCTGCAGAATTTACTAAGTGTCTGCACGTCGATGTAACACTCAGAAGAACTTGGGATAGATTCACCGACAAGTTTGTCCACGGGTTTGGAAACTATCCTTATACTTAACCTGCAAGTCGTCACATTTTGACAAAATTTATTATACTAATCGCTGCTTTAGGACAAAAGGACAATTCCCCATATGGCATTTTATTTTGAAAAAGTCGTTATATCAAAACAATTTGCAATACATAAAATTTCAAAAAAAAGCCCGCTGAGGAATAGCTTTTCGATGTCAGGGATCGATCTTTTGAACCTTCCTATAATCAATCCCATGAAAATTAACCCTTCAAATTGCAAAATATTAGTCGATAATGTATATTTGATATAAAGATGAAACAGTTAGATTTATTTTTTTCGACGTCACCCCTCATAAGGAGCCCTCATGGAAAGTGAGCCTTTTTTGTGGCAGAAGCGTCTAATTTGCAAAAATTTGATTAAAATTAGTTAAATATAACATAATCGTATATAATTTAGACCACGTGGACCAATTTTTACTAAAACTAAGCCTTTATATGGCATTGAACTCTAATTTTTAGTTGTTTATGAAAACAACCGGCGAAGAATAATAAGAAAATTTACAAGAAAATTACTTTTTTGTAATATTGAGACGACGTCAGCTCACGTTTTAGATCCCCTGCCCTGAAGAGTATATTTTTTTTTTGGAAGAAAAACGAAGTGATGTAAAATACTTACTTTACGGCGTTACCGAACTATAAAGTTTTCATTCGTTTCCTAAACAAGTTTATTTAATTATCCTGTTAAGATGTTTATGTTTATTTAAAAAAATTCTTGATTTGTGCTCATTAGTTTGACAAGAAAAAATTATACTTTTCAGCTAATCGTATTATATCGGAAGTTCGTTTTGTAATGTTTTCTTTGCCCACATTTTTACTCATCACCGACAAATCTAGATCTTTATAATCATCAGGCAATGTAGAATGATCAGCCAAAATTATTTTCACCATAAATAGAGCAGTAGCGATCTGAATAGGAGCTCGTTTATGAACTTCTTTCAAGAAACTGCAATAGAATTAAAAAGTAAATATGCAAACAATTAGAATAAATGTCATCGCTTTCGTCAGCAAGAAGAAATCATTTAACAGCATGCAGTAGCGTGAAAGATGAAATTAAGCTTCTCAAAGTGAACGATAAATAGGATATTGATCGTAGCAAAAAAAAAAAAAAAAAAAATTTAATTAACTTTCTGCTTCTGCTAATGGGTGGGCACTGAATTGAAGAAGAATGGCAACCGACAGAAAAACGCACGGATGGACAAACGATAGAAAACCCAAACGGAAGGGGAGGGGGATGCTAGAATTAAGAGAGATCTCTCCAAGAAAGTAGACGGATGGGTTAAATAAAATAAATACAGGTAGAGTCGTGTACAGGGGTATGGAAAAGGCGACGGACTGCAAAATTGATGATGTGCAAACAAAGAGAATGCAGACGGAATAAAATGGCGGACAGTCTGAACAAGCGAAGACAGGTCGACAGAGGAACACACGGATGAAACAAAGAAGAGACAGAAGCACAGAAGGCGGCAGACGAGCCAAGCAAGGGAAAGGAAGATGGAGAAAGGAAAAGGTGGCAGGGAGAATGAAATGGCGTAGATACATTAGAAGTAACAAACGATCAGACAGTTAAACAGAACGAAGTAACTTTAAATAAATCTGCACCTTATTTTACTAAGTACTACTACAACTTAAATGCTTCAGGCCCACATTTTTGTGCCATGCATATAAAATATCAAATGGAATGTGTGCTCAACATCATAGCAAAAAGTTAAACTGAAAAACTGACATGTGCAATGCAAACCATCTTTTAAACAATATTTTAATTATTTTAAAATTAATATTTTTCTACTGCAGTCAAACGTACCCCACATAAGAATAGCTCTCGGTTGGTATTTTTAAAGAATTCAAACAATTCAAAAATGATTGATAATATAATGAAATGAGTTTATCAAAATGTTGGTCCAGCACAGCGCTTTCTACGCTCGAAAATAGAAAGAACACGACATCATGCGCTAAGCTGTCATATTGAGATAGTTGAAAATCCACAAATTTCACTTTACATGGTAAGCCATTTTCATCTATAAAACCGAAGAAATCTGAGCATTATATATACAAAGATATATAAATTTTATGAAAATGAATTATTTACCATATTTAAGCATAATGTTATTAATCCATAGATCACAGTGTGTGATGGTGGTGTATAAATTGTCCTTTACTTCGTCAACGGAATCTCGGTACTTTTGAAGATCTCTATAGAGTTCCCTAACACCCTCCACGTAACGATCTGTATTGTTGGTAGCAATACTCACTTGTTCTAAAATATCCTACGCGAGTATAAATGGGTCAAAGTGAAAACGCATCTTGCAATTTAACGCAACCATACCTTTTCCAGTTGTTTTTTTTCCTTTTCCCCGAAGCCTAAATTCATATTAAAATGCTGGAAATAAGGACGTACGTCTTCTTCAAAAACTTGAGGCTTCTTTACGCGCAATGCTATGGGTAAAGCGTGATATTTTGCCATTTCCTTTAATATAAATTTCGCATGCGATAAATCAAACATTTTCTCCCGATTGCCCGGCTTAAAACCCGAAGCTTGTAGATTTTCTTGTACCAAGAGAGCGTTTCTATCTACTCGAGTAGAGTCCGGATCTAAAGAAATTCTTGATCCATAATAAATGGAAAAACCATCAAATATTTCCTCTTCATCTAGTTCCATCTCCCATTGTAGCTGGCGTAAGGCAGGAGCGACATACTTGTAGATAGCAATTTCGGTTCTAGAAGTGCGCTCCGGTTGAAATATATTCCAAAAGTAATCATTCGTTATAGGTGGCAGTTTAGCTACTAAAGCCAGCTCTTCTACATCTCCTGATAGCATCTGAACTTTTGCGGTAATAGCTAACATAATGCTACCATAATTTTCACCAGTTTTAGTTAGATAACGGCTTGTATAAGAAATCAGTTTGCCGCCATTTAAGAAGGGGTCCACTACCCTGGCGAGTTCAATGATTTGCGGTACTTCGGACATATTTTCTATAGATTGAGGAAAAGAAATTGCGTTACGTTTTTTTGCAAAAGTTAATTTTTTATTGCGGCCCTAAGTAAGATAAGAGCATTAAATATACTATTCTATGTTTCTCCATAAATTTAGTAATAACTGTTTGCTTTACTGTAAACTATTTTCAAGACAATAATACTAATAAATAAACTATATGGCTATACTACACACTAGCTTTGCTTAAATAATTATTTATATACTAACATTCAAAACGATATCTTATATTTTTTACGAACGATACGGCTAAACTAAGGGAACAATTTTTAATATCAGATAAAAGTCTTACTTTCAGACTTTCATGAATTTCGCTGCATTATCTTTGAAAGCAGAGAAAATCTCGAAGATTCTCTTCATAACGATATTCGCTTTTCCTTCCTCTTGTTTTAATTCCTAGTCGAGACATTTATTTCAGTATCCAATGATATTTTGTTGTCTACTAATTCTTTTGTCAAAGCTCACATTCAGTTAAGAATACTTGGAATGCGCTATAGTCACCTTGATGAAAAAGGTCCGGTAAAATGTTGAAAAATTTTAGTTCAAGGCCAATAAGATTGCTGATTGCCACGTAAGGAGAAGGTGAGGATATTGACACCAGCTCGAATTTACCCATTAGAAAAAAGTTCGATATTTCTGATCCCCTTGGAAGGTAATTACATAGCTGAAAATTAGCTTTCGTTTTCGCTTTCAACTATTCAGCAAGAACAGTCGCCAATAAAAGCGAAAATGATATTTTTTATATATGATTACCCCGCAGTTCCCTCAGGACAACAAACATCAGCCAAAAGATAAATTTATTAAAAACTTTGTTCAATGAGCATCTTTTGATGAAAAAAGAAACGAAGACAATAAGTAAAAGGAGAGAAAGAGAGATTTAAAAGTCTAAGTATTGAAGACGAACTATGTCCCTTTTCACTATTAAAATTCTCGATACAATTGAATTTCGAAGAAATATTTTAAACAAAGTATACGGTTATGAAGAAACTCCTTTAGAACCTCAGGATGATTACACAAAGTAGTGTTTGATGTGATAGAGCGAAAGCTAATACAAAATTAATTATAAATTTCGAGACTCACTTAGTATTACAAAAATGAAAATAATGATAAAAGATGCATCATAAATTAGTCATAAAAAATTACCGAAAACTTTTGTGACGTAATGGGAGATTTTTCTTTTTATGTCTTATAACATACATAAATATCCGGTAGTAAAGTTAAGTTTAATAAACGAATGCAACAAAAGCATACAATAGAAAACAAGTAAAAATCTCTTCCCATTACATACCGCATTAATGTAACGATTTTTCAAAATCAGGCGATTTATGGGAAGTGGTCAAAAAAAAAGTAGTAAGATCTGAACTATATTCAATAGCGTTCGTCCTTGGGCCAAAACATGTTCATGTAACAATCATGAAAATATGTCAAAAATTGTGGCCTGTAGCTTAAAGATGAGAAAACAAAAAGGGAAGACGGACAGACGGACAGACAAGCTTTAATCGATTTAAAAAGTGATACTAAAAGTCAAACTTAATCGATCGGCATAATAAAATGTGGCTCTATCTCAATTCCTTCTGGGTGTTACATACATCCGCGTAACATAGCCTTACCCCAAATGATGTAGGGTATGTAGCATATGGTAATAAATAAAGAAACAAATATTTACATTCCATCTTGAATCTTTTATTGTTTAATATTCGAAGTTTTTACATTTTCAAGTAAACACTTGCTACTGAAGAGATTCGATTGTCTTTAATCTATATAATTTAGTCGACAACTTTAGAGTCGCAATCTGAGCACAACATAGGCAAACATTATTATTATTTACAATAGCGTTTAATTATTCACTATATAAAGTTCTAAATGTGTTCAAGGAAGCAGCTAACTCCACAGACTCTTCACATATTCCTGTGCCTATTTTACAGTTATCTCGAAACCTATACGTTAGATTCTTTTGGCGTTTCATCTTTTCAAAATCTATTATAAATTTACGAAAAGGTGCTCACATCACTAAACTAATGAAATTTCTTTACCAAAATCATATTTCGGCTATTTTACGCTTTTAATAATTGTACAGAAGAGAACATGAATTCACCTAAATACTCTGCTTCATAATCCCATGGCAATGAGAGAAATGAGTGAAGGCTGTATTGTGGCCGAATCAAAAAGTGCGGACATAGAAACGAATTTCCTGATTATATTTCCTGATTCATATTTACCTTCCTTTTAATCGCAAATCGTATCAAAGGCGACAATTCGAAGGGGAAGCAGTTTCTTGTTAACAAGTCCAATTAATCATTAGTAGCAAAGGGAAGTCATTGATTAGACACGATTACCATCACCGACAAGTTTAAAGTTTATTTTCAATGCTCAAGTCAATGACGATCATTATGTCGCTGATATCTCACCAGTGACAAAATAAATTTATTTAAAGCGGATTTCAATGAGTTCTTACCTTACCATTAATGAAAAACCTTATCATTATCCAGTTTTTTCTAAGGGATCTGAATAAAATTGAGGAAAATCTATATATACTTATATATATGCGTTTGGAACTTATATTTGTGCCTTTCTTGGTAAATTCCTGTTGTGTTTCAATCGTAAGGATATCTAGGATGTCGCAAAATTTGAATTTGGCGGCATATGTGCAGTACAGTGTTTGCAACAATTTAGGGTTAGAACAAATGAGGCATTACGCGGAAGAACAACACGTTTTCATTGTTGAACAATATTTCAAACGCAATGAATGTTTGATCGTACTTCTTCGAAAATGAAGCTGCTCACGCAATCACAAATACTGGTGCCCGATATTGCGCTATGACAACCTAGCTTCTTTTTGCCTAAATTGGATGCTATTGGCTTGAACGATAATTGATTTCAACAAGAGATTGTCAAATGCCATACATTCCTTGGTCGTGTACTCTCACGTTTGATTAATTAGAAATTCGATAGAAGAGCGAGCAAAGCTGTGGAGGCCATTTGCCCGATATGTTATTCTGAAACGTTGTCCATCTGTTTGTCTGCTGTAAATATTCTCTTGGCCACAAAAATAAAGCTATCGACTTCAAATTTAGCAATAACATTAGAAGGTCTTGTACGCAGGTTGGTATTGAAAATAGGCGAAATCGGCGGAAAGAAATGCCTACCAAGTACGAAGTAAACTGGGATAATCTCTGTTTTCGGAAAGGAAAAAGATTGGTTTTTTCTTGATTACTCACAAACTAGAGCAGATTAAAATGTAAAAATCTGGACATGTATTCTGTAGGCTATGGAGTAATACAAAAATGTACAAAAATAGGGGAGATTAACTACGCCTACCTAATTTTTTTTCCAAAGTTTTCATAGCGCCAGAAACAAGCCTCAAAGGCCTCATAAAGTATACACATCCTTGACCAATGTCAAATACGGACTACAACTAAGCGTGCCCGCCTGTTCATCTGTCCATCTGTTCGTTTGTCCAACGGTGTAATAACTGTGGTAAACAAATTAAGATATCATCTACAAATTTGCCAAATTAAGCGAAAGGACACAGGCGCCGTGCAACAAAAATTGAAAACACCTTTTGTTCTCACTTCTCATAAACTAAAACAGATGCACGGTATAAAGCGCACTTTTATGCTACATAATTAGGAAAATCTTCTCGCAGTCACTTAGTGCGAGAAATTAATTTTGAGAATGATATATTTCAGGATAATGGAAATTGGTATAAAAGATTCGATCACAGCCGAATACAATTGTCTTACTTGTTTTAATTAACTAAAATATTTTTTGGCTTCTTTTTTTTTTTTGTTGATTATTTTTTAATTAATTTTAAGAAACATTAAACAACTTGAAAAAACAAAATACTTTTTGAAACCACAAACTTAAATGCAAACTATTCTAATGACAATGAACGACTACAATATGCATTTTTTTTGCATATTGCACAAACCCGTAGAAGAGTATTCAATAACGTGTAGTAAAGCTTGAAAAATTAAAAAAAATTCCAACTAGCAATAAAGTAAAAGTGGAAAATTGTAATTTTCATAATTCTGACAGAGCTGCGCTCACATGTGTTTCGCTTAAATTAGTTAAATGATATATTTAATAAAAAGAATAGAATAGTTTAGATAGGGCTTACATTCGACGCGGGGAACGGGGAACGGGGAAATGTTGTCTTCGTAACTGGGAAGAAAAACAAATTTAAATAAAATAAAGTTGAAATAACCCAATTCAGAAATCTTGCTTACAAAGCCTTATGACCGAAAGAATGTTTCAACAAGTACAATTGAAGCCAACCGTACCTAACAGGACAGTTAAAAGTCCGCAGTGCCTTTTTATCCAGCGCTAAAAAATGCTTGAGGGGTTACGCATCGTAAGTGTTTATTTATAATGACATTAAAAAGCTGCGAAGAGACAAATGGACGGACAAAAAAAATATCGACTCTGAATATTATGTTGATATAGAGTGTATATATGCCTTGTGGGGCCCTTGATGCATATTTCAGGATGTTACAAACGGAAGGACAAATTTAATATAAGTCTATCCTTTATTGTGCTGGATATAGCAATTAACTTTAATAACTTTTGTATTATTTTACATTTTATTGAGATAAGAAGCTAAACAAAAAGAAAAATTATATTTAGTTTGAACTGAATTCCGAAACAAAAAAAAATTGATGAATGTATCGAGTATTTTTACTTTTTATGAGTAAATATCTGATTATATTTCTTTCTCTAAGTCTTTCGTTCTGATTTGATTGAGATTTTACGTAACGAATTGCATCAACCCTAATGATTTTTTACTAACGAATCGATGATTTAAGAACCGACCAAGATCCTGAACGAGTAAATTTCCACACTAAACTTATTTTTCTACGCAAAGCTAACCTTGGTTAATTTAACAAAACTCCTTCAAGTGAGAAAATACTTGGTGTATTTGAACTCTGAAATAGGCCAAACTCTGCAACAGGATCGCCTAAACACAAATCTCCGCACCAAGATCAATATATCACAAAAAACGATTTAAACGAAAACATAGCTTTTTTTAAACGACAAACTATCTTGGAATGGCTTACTGCCCACTTGGGATGCAGAGTGTGGCACAGTAAACTAACAAAAGCTGTCGACGTATCGAAACTCACAGATCTTCGCAGTTCCCGCTGAAAACGACAACTCTGATACGACCTAGAGGGCTAAGAAGAATTTAAAGTTGAACTACCTATAAACAAAGCTAAGTGGAGATTTCTTAAATCTTCAGAAGAAATATTTCTTTTCTTTTGAAATAAAACTTCTTTTTCGAACAAGTTCTTAGGCATGGGGTTCACTAAAATGTGAGAGAATGTCGGTGTTTTCTACATAGATTTCGCTGCTTAAGTAATCCTAAAATAAATAAAAGAACATCGTAGGTCGGCTAACTCAAAACAAGTAGCTCTGCAAGTAAACTGCAAAGGATTTCTTCACGACTCAACGAGCCGTCATTTTTATTTTCGGGTTAAAAACTCTTAAGTGGTAAACACAATGAACGACCGCACTACCATATTGTTTTACAAGAAAATGTAAACAAAAACAAATGATTTTAGAACCAAAAATAAAGAAATCAACGTAAACATAAGCAACAAATTTATAAAAAATAACAATAAAGAAGTTAATATAAAAGTAAACAAGCTTGTTTCGGTTAGATAAAAAATTTAAACAATTGAAAAGATATTGGGTGAAATCTCTTTTGGAGATACATGATCTTGAAGGAGTTTTTTCGATATTACTTGAGCGAATAACTTTAAAATTTGAAGGGAACGATCGTTTCTTCGTGCGTTTTTTTTTTTTTTAATCATATTTGTATGTGTACATACGACACCAAACGATTTCTCAATTCTCTGAACACATTAACTTGAATATACATATATATATATAGAACAGACGTTATTAACAATAAGGTAATAATATTATTTTCGGATATATTCGTTTATAGTTTATTTTAAATTATTAAGTGACAACCATTGTCAACAATCTTTTATCCACCAGTCACTGCTGAAAAGTAAAAGCGACGCTTTTCAACACTGTTTCCCTTTGACAGATGATTCCGCATATTCACACTATATTTCTTCAAAGAAAATAGTGAAAATATTCTTGAATACTGTGGAAGACCTATAAATTTAGAAAGAAATCGAAAAAAAATGGCTAGCGAAAAGGAAAAGACCTCTAAAGGCGATTTGGGTTTATTAGAGGAGGATGATGAATTCGAAGAATTTCCCGCCGAAGGTTTGTTTTCTTTTGCAATATTCCAGTATACGTGCTAATATGTGTGCTGTTTTGCTTTTCAGATTTCAATGTGGCTGATGAAGATGAAGAGGTTAATGTATGGGAAGATAATTGGGATGATGATAATGTTGAAGATGATTTCAATCAACAGTTAAGAGCTCATCTAGAGAAACAATCTATGGAAACTTAAAAATATATTTTGATTATAATAAACGAAATCTACTATTCATCGTAACCGATCATAATTTCCTCTATGCCTTCATCTATCATTTTCTCAATATCCCGCTGCTCTGCGATACGGCACTTTAAATCAGTTTCCCGCTGTTCAAGTTTCTTTATTATTTTCCCGTTTTCCTTGATATCATCTTGTTGGTCAGCAATTTTCTTCTTTTCTTCTAGCCGTTTATTTCCGAGTTCATTTTTTTTGGCGCTATACTCTGCTTGGAGTTGTTCGACGGATTCTTTCAATTCTTTGATATCCTTATCGGAGAGTTTATTCTTACTTTCTGCAAAAGGAGCTTCTCTTTGCAGATTTTTCAGTTGTTTGTCACTGTTCTCTAGTTGGGTTAATAAATCTTTTGGGAATACCTTGCTTAACTCTTCGAGTTCAGCACTTTGTTGTTGCAGCTTTTTAATGTCTTCATTACGTTTACTTAGCACAGATTCCATGTGACCTTGCTCTTTCGCTAGAGTTGCCAATTTATTCTCCAACTGCTGAATTTGTCTAAAACACCACTTGTTAAAACTTTTGCAATTTTATCAAAATTTCTTTGCTTACTTTCCTAATTCCTGAAATTCATCATTAGATACCACTTGTTTGAGAAGACGGTTTTTTTCCCCTTGCAGCTGCTTTTGTTTCTCTGTGAGCTCTTCTATTTCACGTTCAAGTTTACCAATATCCGCTTTTTTTGCCTCAATTTTTTCTACGTAAGTTTTTAATTCTTCCCGACTAGCTGATAATCTTTCATTCAACTTCTTAATAGATTGCTTAAGCTCTACGTTTTCTTTTTGTCTTCTTTCATTTTCACATCTTGTTTTCTCGACTCGAATTTTTAGGTCCTGCAGTTCATTTATTGGCTTCCCTACCATTTTGAAAACTTCCTCTTTGTACATGTTGTAATAAAACAAATAATTCAAGAGAATGCATAGCATCTGGGAGGTTTTCTTAGGTGCTTTAAGCAAATGAAAATCTATATAAATTTGCAGGCATTCGATATATTTCACTTACTCGGTCGTATTAAATCGTAGTACGTAAAAACATAGGACTCGTTGCTTATTTTAAGCATGTGATCAATTTGTTTAACTAATTTGATCCGAAACAGATGATATTCATTATTCTCCATTGTAATTGGAGGTTCTATTTTATAACCAAAACGTTTTAAGTAAGCAACCAACACGCCTGTTAGGAATCCTTCTGTGGGTTTGCTTAAATCACTTGAACGTAATTGACATTCGGTAAATACAGCGTTCCAACTGTCCATATTCTCCTTTTTAAACATTTTTTTGTTTGCTATTTAATATATATTCAAAAATTTTCAGAAGTATCTTCTTTTTTTCTTTGGTATGTTGAACAGAGATATTTTCAGAAGTATAATCAAAAAACCAAAGTAAATGTTTGTTTTGTTTTTTCTCCAGTGTTGATATACGAACTTAATTTTAGGAAGGTATTGTTTAGTTTTTTAAAATTCACAATCAAGAAAATCGACACTAGATCATCTCTAAGTAAAACCCGTGTAATAAACGTGATTATCAGATTTTTGACATAAAATTTTGAATAAAATTTGTAAAAAACTTAAAATAAATTTCAAATTTGTGCTTAAGAGACAAACAAACAGGGTGCAGACATGGAATCTGAGAACGGAGAGAGTCAGGTTCAAATCCACTTAAATACGAAGCAACAACAGTAAGTAGAATCTATTTTCAATATTGATAAGTAATTCCGAAAAAAGAATTCCAGTTATGCAGTTCCCGATGTTCCTTACTCTATAGAGGCTAGTGTGACAACCAGCGAATTAACTACTTTTGTAAATACTCTCTTGGAACAATCACTTTCTGGTGACCATAAAACACCGATAGAATTTGATTTTTTGGTACTTGGTATTGAGTATCTACGGGGGCGTTTGTGTGATCATTTAAGAGAGAAATCCATATCCTTTGAAGATGCGATTGAAATTGAATACTTAGAAAGATTTCCAGCTCCGGAACCCCAAGACTGTTTATTGCATGATGACTGGGTATCTGCTATTGAAGCAAATGGCAAATGGATTTTAACTGGATGTTACGACAACACCATCAACTTGTGGACTAATAAAGGCGCACATATCTTGACTATACCTGGTCACACAATGCCAGTTAAAGCTGTAACTTGGGTTTCTTTAGATGGTGATAAAGGTAAATTTATATCATGTTCTCAAGATCAAACTGTCATGTTGTGGGACTGGTCCATCGAAAATAATTCGGTGGAATGCATATCCGTTTGCAAGGGCCACGAACGGGGTATTGATTGCGTCGGAGTAAGTCCGAATCGTAAACGGTTTGCTACTGGCTCCTGGGATACTATGTTAAAAATATGGTCAACAGACTCCGGCGAGACAACTGCAGGCACATCAAAACGTTCAAAAACGGAGGATAATTCCGTCAAGGTAGCGATTCTATCAAAATAATGCTTTTAGCTCGATTTTTCAACCGAAATAATGCACATTTGAATTTTTCAGACACCACAAATAACTTTGCAAGGACATCGCGAATGTATTTCTGCCGTACAATGGATGGACGATGAGACTTTAATAACTAGCAGTTGGGACCATACTATGAAAGTTTGGGATCTCAGTTTGGAAGGAATTAAAACTGAAATTTCCACCAACAAATCTATATTTGATGCTAGTTATTCTCGTTTGTGCCGACTGATTATAACTGCGTCAGCAGATAAAAACCTTAGACTATACGATCCGAGAATAAATCGTAGGTTCAATTAAGATACTCACTGAAAAATTTCACATCTATGTAAAAATGTTGACAGAAAGCTCCGCAACACTGCGCAACACTTACTTAGGTCATCAACAATGGATTCAGACGGTTATGTGGTCAACAACTGAAGAATATTTGTTCGTTTCTGGTTCCTATGACCATCAAAATAAATTATGGGATCTCCGAAGGTGCGACTATTATGACTTGCTTCAATTTTTATGCTAATGTTCATTTTCACTATTAGTCCGAAAGCTCCATTATATGATTTAATTGGTCACGGTGATAAAGTTTTAGACATCGATTGGTCGAATCCTAAGTATATTGTGTCTGGCGGTGCCGATAATACTGTAAGGGTTTACAAATCTCGAAAAGCCTTAATTAAAGCTGATCATTCGGACACCAATTGAAGGCAGTAGTAAAACTGAAATTTTCAAATTTGTTTTCTTAGAAATTAAAAACCAAAAAATATTTTTGTATATAAAAAACGTAAAAAAAGAAAGCAAAAATAGTTTTTAACTTGATGAAAGCCATTTATGTCGCGAAACTGACGAACACGTCATAGTTTATTATGAAAAATTATCAATAATTATTTTTTTTATTATATTCAATTATATCACAATTGTAACATAATGTGGGCCAAGCAATTTTATTTCACTTCTTCGACTTTACGCACCCGCATGCCGAGCCCAGCCATGCCGCAGCGATCTGAACAATTGGTAATCAGGAGGCGACATGTCTGACGCCATGGTGAGTACGTTGGATGTGGGAGAACTTCTCGTTCCTGCTGGAGCAGTGTATCCTGGACAACTCTTGCAATAACAGGCCAAAAAATAGCATTTTCAGTCAATACGTGTTGCCGCATTTACACTGCTGAAGCCGAAAACAACAATTGGGATATGATGGGGCAGCATCACCATAAGCCTGTGAGGGATTTTACCGGCAAATTTCTTCAATTAAACAAAGTAATGAATTCTGACGAAGAATTTAAAGCGCTCCATGATAAGCGTCCGTGTACGCTGAATAAATCAATAATATTAAATGGAAAAGTGTTATTTTATGTAGGGGACGGTCAAAACCATCGAATTCAACCGTTATGTACATTGGTATGTCCTATTTCTGTATCATTTTTACCAGCAATAGTCGCTGATCAAAATTTTGCAAACATTTAATACGTAATATATTTTGTTAAAATTTTAATGCAAAGAAAAAGTTTCATTTTTTGCAATGGAAATTAATGAATGAAATTAATTCGGTCCATTATACGCTTCGCTTACTCCAGCTATCTCAACACGTTGCATTTTAGAAAACGCGATGATTTGAAAACTTATCAGTTAAGGCTTGCCGAATCTAATTTGTACGCCTCTGTGGTCGCTGGCACGTGATATTCGCAAACATTAACCGAGCTTGAAGTTAAATAAATGCAATCCTATTACTTCGCCAAAAGTTCCAGTCTATTCATAAAAAACAAATGCAGAATTCAAGGTTTCAGCTACTAAATGCCGTTCCGTTGGTGCTTTTTTTTTTTTTTTTTTTGGAAATGTCTTTTATTTGGGTGTCGTCACCGGGCTGCTTCCATTTCTTTCTTTCATTTTGTCGAAAAAGTTTACTATAAAATAAATAAAATAAAAAAATGAGATCAATCCAAACGTTACAAACATTCAATATGTAGACAAGCACAACAATTGCACAACAATTTGCATTTTTTTCTTCACAGTTTTATTAATTTTTTTTTTTTTTTTTTTTTTATTTACATTTCAAAACGCAAGGTAATGAATGAAACGCCACAATACGAACAGTAAGTATACTTAATATTTTGTGTGATGCTTTCGCGGCCTTCTTATTTTATAAATATGTTCTAATACTAAATAACAAAAAAAATTTTTTGTGTAAGTTTAAGAGGTTTAAGTAATTACTGCTAATTCATCTTTTTATTTCATCTTTAACCTTCAGGACATCAAGATGTGATTATCGCTAGCATAGTGCTTAGAGAAAGTCTTAACCACACGACAAAATAGAAATCCAAAGCGTTGTTTGGTCGAAAAAAGTTTCGGTTCTGCTTTTGTTCTCGTGGCAAGCAATCCAGTCCTGTCGGGAGTATAGCCAAGACCAAACAATTTTGCCTTCAGAGAGTATATGCAAAACTCTAAAAGTGACTTTGCGAACTAATCAACACGATCTGGCCGTAATATTAAAAACGAGAGGGAAAGTTATATTAAACCTAATACTTGCAATGATGTCGTCTTAATTTATGTATTGTACATAATAACATACAACAGTAATTTAATAAAAATATGTTTGTAATAGTCTATATGCAATTGGTACGAATGTAAGGTGTGGCTTCTCATACTCAACTAGCTTCCAAGTTTATAAAGTCCTTTAAGGAAAAGCCCGTCTAAAGTTAGGTTCACTGCAATGAATTATAATCAAATTAAAGCAACCGAGTGGGGCACACAAACTAGAAAGCTTATATATATATATTATAGAACTGAATAACAATTGAAACTTTGGTTCGGAAGGGGCAGTAGCTTTAATCCTCCTAAAACTACAACTTCCAAGGCCATTTAACTCCAAACAACTCTTCACAAATGACTTCAATGTCAGAGGATCAGCCTTAGCCTACATATCGTTGTCGTTTCCTAATATTTCGAACAAAGTGGAGTTTTCTCCGCCTTAGCGTAGATGGCAATTTTTACAGCAAAGCAACAAGAAGTGCAACTTAAATATATAAAAACTACTCATATTTCGGGACAACGAAACTACATGATTTTCGACAATTATTCCTTTAGTTAAATTCAATTTTTGCATAGAGCCAAATTAATTTGGGGTGAGGTGTCGAAGACTTTTGTGAAATATTTAAAACAGTTTTGATTTGATTATACAAAAATTATACGCTAATTTTACAAAAAAAAATTTTAATATAAAACAAATATATATATAATCTCTTCAACATTTCTGTTCCTTAAACTTTACTCCATATAACAAAAATTGCATACACAGACATAGGTGATCTTAAAAAAGAAACTAAGAAATAAATTCAAAGTCTTCATCTGAATCCAATATGTCGTCACAGCTATAATAATAAGTGCTATAATAATCATATTTCTATACCTAATTGCCTTTTTTGATTGAAATTGGTCCAATGTACTGCTATGGGTAGACTACTGCTTCGTTTCCCAATTTCAAAGCCGTTGTCCGAAATGTTTAAATGCACTAAACTTTCATTTTTCATACTCAAAGATAGGCATCGGAATTTTTAAACTATCAATTGGCTAATACAAGTTTTTGAATGGATTGAACGGTGTCCTTCTACCCATCTGCTTATTAGCACACTCGTTAAACACACTGTATCACGAGTAGGCGTGGGCAATGCTTTCGAGTTTTATGGAGATCCTGCAAGATTTTATGAATATTCTATGAAGAATATACTTACAGTTATTTAAGTTCCATATTTAAGTATCCAGAGTTGTGAAATCTTAATAGCACACGAAAAGATTGGGACGTAGCTGGTAGGCAGTTAGCCGCCGAACTTACAAATAAAATTAATCATCTTGTTACCACAAAAGGTGTTCAGAAAAGTCAATTAAAAGTGAACTTAGAAAGTTGGACCAATCAGCGGAGACCGGACGAACGAGACTGTGCGCATATCTGTGGTGCACGCTAAAGTTGGAGCTGCATAACGCAACGAACAAAATAACGAAACAATTAATATCGGATGAGAAAATAAAAATCGAAATAGAAACAGATTCGGACGGGTTTCTAGGCTTTGACGAGACGGAGAAAATGGACACGCGATTCTTTTGCACCGTAAGCGCGTGTAAAAAAAGTGGGCCGTAGCATTGTCATCAAGTCTTAATAAAATTCTTACATATTCGGTTTGGCACTTTGCCATAGAGATTCACTTCGAAGGGTTGGAGATACCCATCCACCTTACATTTAATATAAACTTAAATATTTTTTCATTTTCTGAATCGATTTTTGTCCATCCGTCAGTTTGCCGCTTGAAAATTTCTTTATTACTTCTCCTACATTCGGATGAATTGCTAAGATTGTTTCATTATTTATCGAAAATATATCCTTCACCTTAGAAGATTGTACATAAAATGAAGCAGAGAAAATTCTATTTCTATTCTAAAATTTTATAAGTCATGACAGAAAGAAAAGGCAAAAATTATTATGAACAGAAAATAGCACCTGCAACACACAATACGCATTAGGCAAAAATATAAGAAAACGGAAAATACATGTCGACATATATATATATATATATACATATATATATATCAAATACGCTTCTTTTTGTATAAACGATTAAAATATCAAGATTTTTCTTGGTAATCAAAGAATATATATTCTGGTCCTTTTCGTATGCGGGAAAAATAATCTTCATTCATAACAACGAATTACTTAAAAATTTAATAAAAATTATTGTTGCAAATAAAGTAAAATGATACTTATTGCATGTTTATGTCAATAGCCGATATTAAAGGCTCTCCGCAATTCCATATTTCCCGGTGTTTGCTTTGTTGGCTCCCCAGTCTTCTCGGGCTTTTTACTTGATATCACTAAAGCATCCTAAAACAAACCCATTCTGTTCTCTACAATCTGTTTGGGTATTTATTGCTGGAAAATGGTTTGATGAAAATTATACATTTTGCTCTTCTCTTGAAAAGTTTCTTACATTATTTCTACGCGTTGTTTTTTTACGATGCCAATGAGTTTCTTCGTTACGATACGTATTCAAACGAGTAACGTCGAAGCCTGCCGGGATTATGGTAAGTTCATCGTAAGGAGACGAGAAGTTCTAAAATAAATATTCCGTTAAAGAAAAACAATAGCAATACCATTTTAATAAATAATTACCTTGTTAGAGTCCTCCTGGCTCATTTTTTTAAAACAAGGGAAGCCAATACTCGAACCAGGTGAAATGCTCATATTTTCCATTTTAACAGGATTCTGTTAAATGAGATTTCCGTCATAGTCATGAATAAATAAGTTTTTTTTTCCTTTTCAAAAACAAAAATTTTACCAGTTTGTTTGTGTTTATTGTGGACATGAAGTTAGCAGGCATGTCTTCTTCTTTATCTTGGTTATTGATTGAACTTCCAATATAAGACATATTTGTTGACTTTTCGTAGATATTAAAGAGTTTATTGATATTAGAGATATAACCCTAAGTTAAAAGGTTTAAAAGGTTCATGTTTACCTGCTCTGCAGATTGCATGGATTCGTTGTTATCGGTAGAGATTGCCTGTGTTTTCACTTCTACAGAACTACTTTTTGATATCGCACTAACTATATTGCTCTCACATTTATTACGGACCCGCCAGTCTTCGACCTTATCTTTCCCAAAATTACCGACTGGACGCCGCGGGCTTAGCGATGGGAAAAGGTCAATCGAGCTGACTGAGATGGTACTAGTCCCCTTCGTTAATTCGCCATTGTTAGACAGCTGTAGTCGAATGTTTATGACATTTATTTAATTTTAGAGATATAAGCCAAAGTTAAAAAGTCCATGTTTACCTGCTGCGTAAATTGCATAGACTCTTTATTGCCGGTAGAGATTACGTGTTTCTTCTCTCCTATAGAAGTTTTTGACATCGCATCTATTATGTTATTCTCGTGTTTATTACGAACACGCCACTCTTCGACCTTATTTTTAGCAAAATCATCAGCTCCACGTCTCGATCTTTGTGTTGAAAAAAAGTTAGCCATGTTTTCTTTGCTGGTATTAGTTCGCATTGTTAATTTGCCAGAGTTAGATAGCTGTGGTTGAATATTAATTGTCTTTAGTTTAAGGGCGATACCTTGAAATTTTGGAAACTCTAAAGCAAGTTTAGCTGATAATAAATGTTCGCGGGCACTAAAAGCTCGACCCATATGATTTACAACAATCAAGTTGCCCCAACGATGATCGTCTTTTGATTGAAATTCTTCAACAAAAGTGATTGACGCAGCGTCCGTTAGTAATTTTTCCAAAATATCGCAAGCTTTCTGCTCCCAATTGTCTTTTGTAACTGTTACCACTTTATCTTCTATGTAATCATATTCACTTCCACTTGGCAAAATATTTGCCAAACCACCACGTCGAATGTGATCAATTTCACTCATCATTTCTGGGGGCAGGCGAAATATATACTGCTTCTTGGTCCGAAAAGGAAATCCGTAATCTAACGCCCAAACAATAAATTCGTTCAGCCATTTTGCCTCACACAATACTTTGGCACGTACAATTTTATTCCAGGCCACAAAATTTACTGCTACCTTTTCCGCTACTTTTGGATGGTAAGCAAAATGTTTTCCTGTGCTTATCGTTTGTAATTGCTGTTCTACTTCAGTTAATTCACGGAAATCTTGAACGCTGTGATACCAAAACAAATGTGGGTTTATGAAATGGCTCACAGCAATAACAGTCCCATCTTGCATTTCTTGAAAATTGTAACAAAATAACGAAAAAGGCATTATATATAATTTTTCAAAGCTTAATCTGTGGCTCGTATGTTAAAAGATACATTACCAATTGTTCTTCTTCCTTTTTGGTATAGGTTGCTAGTTCTTCTGTGTTGCAGTGGTTTATTTCGTTTGATTAGATTCACTATCGAAGAAAATACGTTTCTCAATTTAATCAAATATTTATTTGGTGTATAGATGTACCTTTCAAATTCACTTCTCCTTATTATAAAACTCGAAATTCCATAAAATTTCAATTATTTTATAGATGAGCGAAACGTAATATTTAAGAACATTAAGCGAATATATCAACTATTTTAAATCCTTCTCTTTTTGCATCAACTATTCATATTACACATTAACACCGGGCAAAATGCTTTTTCTTTTGCTACACAGCTCTTTGCAACACTGAATATGTTGAACATTTTTTTCGGAACGAAAAAAAGGAACGAATGTAAAACACATCATGCCCTTTATTTTAGAAACAGAAACTTTATGGAACGAAACATAAATATGTGTCGTTTTTTAGTCTAAGAATTCAATTCATTAGTCTAAAATTAAAATAATAATAATAAAATTGTAATTATTGAATATGTGTTAAGAATTTTCATAAAATTTGCATATATCCTGCTGGTCAAAAGAACGATTCATTCGAGAAAATCAACTATTTAGCATTGATCAAGCCCTCATTTGGTATTTGTAAGAGAAAAATTCCCCTTCCACTGTTCTTTGTGTTCTCAGTTCGTATTTGTGGTATTCGTTATATTTCTAACATTTCTAATAAATTCTCTACTACGGATCGTTCATATTATGTGAAACTTGGCAGCTCTACTGTTTTACGAAATAAATCAAAGCCGTTTTTGAACTTTGATGGCTGTGATATATTTATTTTTTAAGTTTTGTGATGAGAAAAAGTAATTTTGAAAAATAACTTTACAATAAGTATATTTTTGGTTAAGTTTAAAGGCTTCATTTTATTTGCCTTGAAGGAATAAAATTGAAAAATATAGTTAAGGAATAAAATTGAAAAATATATTCACTGCTGACCGAAGAAAAGGTAAGGGTTGCTGAAAAATTCCGAGAACAAAGTCGTCTGTCTTTAGGAAGTAAAACTATAAGGAAAGTTTAATAAAACTATTTATCTGAGATTGTATATAAAAGTGGATGGTATGAAAACTATAAGTGAAGAGCACTTGAATAAAAAACAAAGAAATTGGAAAAGATGCTTCGAAAGCACCGCTTCGCTGCTGCTCTGCATGAAGCAACTGCTAATGCGTGCAGCTAGCGAAGTTCGCGAGTTTTGTCAATTGGAGTTCCCTTTTTTCTCTGTTTCAGTATTTTTTTTTCGCGTTCCTTCATTAACATTTGTTCTTTCCTTCATTCGATTACCACATGCAGTTCAAAGAGATGATTTTTTTTTCTATAAAACATAGTATTGCAAAAAAGATCATGTTAAACATATATATATGAATTTTTAATGACTGCGTTGTTGATGTCTGCTTTATTTCTTATGTAAATTTTGTTTGCCTTTTTTATACCCAAAATGGCCGTTGAAATGAATACGTGATGTTTGTCGTACTTTGTATGAAAGGTAGATATATATGGCTGTTTTGACAGTGCAACAACTTTTTTAGGGACATTGTTATACAGTAAATCAGTCAATTTTTTTGTAACCTAAGGATGAACGACGGAAATTTTCACGTTTATAGCCTTCAGCTTGAATATTTTTAAATTACCGTAATGTCTTAAACTTCAGTTATTAAATACCTAAAATGATGGGAATGGTTTGCTTTTGCAATTAAATTTTGTTATTGAATATAATATTTGTAAGTTTTCCATTACTTATAAAATGTAAATTGTTTACTTTCCTTTATAGTAACTATTTAAATAACAGAACTTTTTTGTTTCTTTTGTAGACGTAACAAAGATACATTGGTACTGATTGAGCTGATAAAAGGAATAGCCGTGCGACACCATCATATATTATCATAAAGCAAAAGTGGAAGTGATTTATAAGTTACCAGTAACCAGTGCCTACCTATGTTAATAGTTCACAACGTCAAGCTGTCATAGGCTCCTGTAAAATTCACCTTGTCAATGAAATAGCTGCCACGGTTACCTCCTACAATCAAAATAAGATAGACGTTTATGAGCGTGAGGTGCTCGTACTTAATTTGGCTGCAGATACTTTCAGTATACCGGTTATCTTAATTTTCAACAAGTTTCTGAAACATGAAGTCATGTCGGATGCCGGTGATACCCGATTGTTCATTGTTAGATATTTGCGTGTATTTGATATCAGGTCTTTGCACATGATTACCGGTTGTTTGGGTTGCACTCATTGCATTGGGAAATTCAATGGCAACTATAAAAAAGATTTTATCGCTAATGAGTATCCTTGGCTTGCGCTACTAATGAGCGTGTTAATCGCAAATCATCGTCTTTTTCTGTGGCTAGGTTTCGCGGTACTGTTGTCCATGCGAACCATCCTCTGGGTTTGCTTATGTAAACACGATTCTTTTTTCAACCACCATAACTTTCGGTCGTTTTACTTACAAAACATTGTCATTCATTTTCGCTCGCAAAAACCAATAAAAAAAAAAAAGGGGAATCTTTGCATCCGCCATTCATTCTTGTTCTCGTTTTCCTTTTTTTTTATTGAAAGATTTTTAACGTGAATAAGCTTGCACACTATGAGACACTAGGACTAACACCAAATCCCTATAAAAGGATGTTGATTTCCATACTTCTATAACTGTTCAACGTTTCGACGTGTTATCGGATTTGTAAGTAAATTTTCGGACGGCACTGTATTAAAGAATTCTTACATTCATAACTTCGTTGTGTGAAAAAGTTGCTTGATGGTCGAACAACAACGACCATTGTTGACTGGGGTGGTATTTATGATGCTATATCATGTACATACATATATGCACGAAAATGAATGCTATCTTGGCTCGCGTGTTCTTACAACGTTTCTATTACGTGGTGGGATTGATTGTGACTAGAAAAAATGAGAGAATCAAACTCTGATTTACCTTCCAATGTATTTGAAAATTTTCTGGTAAGAGTTGCTCTAGGGTGTTCATGGTCTTTGAATATGAAGACGATGAAAAAAATTTATTAGGAAAACTCCAAAATCTTGATATTTTTTCATTGCAAATGTTTTTGAACTTGAACAATCGCTTATTAAAAGAAAATATGAACATATTACAATTGAAAAATGTTAACTGTGTTTTCGATAAACATTGTTCAATTTGCATTGTTCTTAAGAAGAAGAAGGAATGATTAATGACGGAATACCGATAATCTCTCTTATTATAATTCATTTCTTTAGCGGACGTTTTTATAGCTAACAGAAAAGAGAAGAGTTATAAAGAAAAAAAAGTTCAAAGTTCATCTATGTAATAAGGTGGGTTATACTACATGCAATAGGTTTCTATTTTTACAATTCATGCTCACTAAGCTATTGACACAATTAGACAAAAAGCAAGATACGAAGGCAAATTTGGAGCAAGTAATTAATAGTTAATCCTCAACAACCAGTTCATCGGCCAAGATACAACTTAATTATTTTAGTGATTAAAATTTAAATCCAAAAAAAATTAATTAGAGAAAGAGCCTGCAATTAACTCAAAAACGAAGAAATTCTCATTAAATAAGCACAGAATGTATTTGTTAAAAACTATACCTAAAGGAAAACATATTATTGGAGTTGTATTGTTAGTATTAAAAACAGCATTAAAAACATTTTTGTAATATCGTGTAATGTTAAATTAGTTGTTTAAGGTTTATGTTATTGAAAACTGTACTGTAACTGAAACTTAACTTAGTAAAGAAGAACTGTACAAACAGAACAAAAAGAAATTTTGTTTTAATACGAGCGGCGTCAACAAAGAAAGAAGGCCAAAAAGGTGAATATCCTAGAGTGCTTGGCAGTGTTGCGGGAACAAGAAGTAGTATACACGCCAGGTATTTTTCGTTTCGAAAAATTTTTTTGTAAGCTTCCTATTCACAACGAAAGAATTTGTAAAAAATAGGAAAGAACGAAATATATATCGAAAGACATGAGTCATACCTAAAGCAAAGTTAATGATTTTCAAGTTTCGTAGTGGAAGCGAAAGCTAGTTAACCAAAAGTCTGAAGTTCTACTTCGTTAATTTAATTGATGCCAAATAACCAATTTCCTTAAGAATTCTTATTTCCTTCCATATGAACGTTTTTGCCTTTTCTTTCCCTAAAACACGTTCGTTTTTTATATTTGTGTTTAATTTCACCAGAAATTGATTTTTGATGCAGAGATGCATTGCAGCAATACTCAGCCTGCTTATTTTAACTCATTCATTCCATGTTGATCACTATCGAAAACTTTAGCAAGTTTAAAATTTTTATTTGTAAGATTGATGTGTCACGTGGGAAACCGAATCAGTAATACATTTTTGATATCCGCTGTTATTCCTACCATTCCTAATAAAAATAAATCATACATGTCTCTCATCACTATGACAGACGTTCATATTACATGAAACTTGGCAGCTCTAGGTGAACATTGACTACTGTTTTGCGAAAAAAAAATCAAAGCCGTTTTTGGAGTTTGATGGCAGTGAAATATTTATTTTTTAAGTTTTGTAATAAGAAAAAGTAATTTTGAGAAATAACTTGACAACAAATATATTTTTGATTAAGTTTAAAGGCTTCATTTTATTTGCCTTGAAAGACTAAAATTGAAAAATATAGTTAAGAAATATTTACCGCTGACCGAAGAAAAGGTAAGGGTTGCTGAAAAATTCCGAGAACAAAAGTCGTCTCTCTTTAGGAAGTAAAACTATTATGAAAGTGTAATAAGGCTATGGGAAAGTTGTGTAATTAAAAGGATATTTATCTGACATTGTATATAAAAGTGTAGATGTTATGAAAACTGTAAGTGAAGAGTACTTGAATAAAAAACAAAGAAATTGAAAAGAGGCTTCGAAAGCATAGCTGCGCTGCTACTTTGCTTGAAGCAACTACTAATGCGTGCAGCCAGGCTATCGATGTTCGCGAGTTCTGTCAACTGCAGTCCCTTTTTGTCTGTTTTAATATTTTGTTTTTTTTTTTGCGTTCCTCCATTAACATTTGTTCTTTCTTTCATTCGATTACCACATGCAGTTCAAAGAGATGATTTTTTTCTATAAAACATAGTATTGCAAAAAAGATCATGTTAAACATATATACATGAATTTTTAACGACTCTGCGTTGATGAGTATTGTTGTTGTCTGCTTTATTTCTTGTGTAAATTTTTTTTGCCTTTTTTTATACCCAAAATGGCCGCTAAAATGAAGTAACTGTGTTAAAGTGTCTATCGTGATGCTTGTCGTACTTTGTATGAAACCTAGAATATTTATGGCTGTCATAAATTAGTAATGTAACAACCTAAGGGTTTCTTCCAACTTACGTGAAAGAAATACAGGAAATCCGTTGTAGGACCTTTTAAATCTGGCTTCGTGCTTGTAGCAACTCAGGTTATAACACTTTTTTTCAAGGACTTTATTTTATACAGTAGATTTATCAACTTTTCTGTAGCCTAAAAATAGACAATGAAAACTCTTTACTTATGAGATATAGTTTCGTTTTTTGTTTATTTATAGTCTTTAGAATAGTAGTTACGTTTTTAAAGTACCGTAATGTCTTCAACTTCAACTGCTAGTGGTGGAACTAATACCAGCGGCTCCACTAGTAATGTAGCCAGCGGCTCAAGTGCTTCCGCTACGACAGGTACAGCAACCAATATGACTACTGCAAACAATGCAAATGCCGGATCTGTTGCACGGGGTCGCAACGGTGCTACTGGCAATAATTCGGGGTCCGCCGGTTCTTCGACAAATTCATCTACTTCTTCAGGGACAACGACAGCTGAAGAGACCCGCAAAGATCCCAAACCAAATCAGAAAATTTCGAAAGCTTTGGGCACTTCAGCTAAACGTATACAAAAAGAATTGGCCGAAATCACATTGGATCCACCTCCTAATTGTAGTGCTGGTCCGAAAGGAGATAACCTGTATGAATGGGTTTCCACTATATTAGGACCGCCCGGTTCTGTTTATGAGGGTGGTGTCTTCTTTCTAGATATACATTTTTCACCCGAATATCCCTTTAAACCACCCAAAGTTACTTTTCGCACTCGTATCTATCATTGTAATATCAATAGTCAAGGTGTTATTTGCTTGGATATTCTTAAAGATAATTGGTCACCGGCATTGACCATATCAAAGGTTTTGCTATCAATATGCTCCCTGCTAACTGATTGCAATCCTGGTGAGTTAGTTTATAAATAATCTAAGAATTATACGTGACATGCAAAGTTATATAATTTTAGCCGATCCTTTGGTTGGCAGTATCGCTACTCAGTACTTGCAAAATCGTGAGGAACATGATCGGATCGCTAGACTTTGGACAAAAAGGTAAGTTGTTTTAAATTATAATTAATATTATATTTAAAATTGCTTGAGGATCTAAAGCGTTGATGGCTTGCTTGTAGATAAGATAGGCCTAAATGTATTTGTCTTTCCTTTTTCACCACTAAATACATTTGAGGTAGCAGGTCTAAAATTTCGTGCCCTGTTGTTCGTACACGTAAAAGTGTTCTGATAGTGCTTTTTTTTCTTTTATAATCATACTGTTAGGTAAAAATTCCCTTTAAATGCTTATGATTTAGTCTTAAAAGAAAGTTTATGCTTACTTTACGTGCATACAAATGGAAACGGGAAATAAAAAGTGTCATTTTCATCGCATAAACATGCAAATCTATTTTTTTTTTATGAATTGAAAAAGATGAGAGTGACAAGACAACCTTTAATATTTAATATTTAACGCCTTTATTTGAACTGAACGATTGCGTTTCGGATTGTTGAGAAAGGGCTTGTTGATTGTTATTTGATTATTGATTGACGTTATAACATCACTTCAACGCAGGGATGCTCAGACGATCGGCCGGAGACATATTAAGTGGTAGCTGGGAGTTTGCATAGAATATCATTGCACTTGGTTAAAATTGCTGAAAAAGCTTAGTTTCAGGCATAACAAATTTGACTTTACGTAAATAGTCCAACCTTACCAATCACACAAGTAACAAATTGTTAGATTGGCCGTCATTCAATTCTTTGCTCTTTATATATATAATTGAAAATAAATAACCACAAAGGCAGTCTTGATAACAATCTGTGTAACGTCATTGATCTTCTAAGCTTTCGTATTTATGTTTCTGCACTAGTTGGTAAGCATATAAAGTTTATAAAAAAATTTGCATCGTCTTCCGTTAACATTACAAATCCGGTCACTTCATCCAATGTTATCCGAGTGTTAAAAAAACTAGCCATTTTCTGTTAAAAGAAGAAGAAGAAATAAAGTAAAGAAATGTAAAAAGCTAAGTGTCAATTAAATTTTTGTTCAGTCATGCTGATGTTGTTGATATAGCTTTTATTTGTCTGCCGTACAAAGAAAATATAAAAAAAAAAAAATGAAAGAAACGCATATTTTATTTAAAGGTTTGATTAACTCAATTGTGTATTGTCGTTAGACCGTATTGTTTCTTGCATTAGATATGGCTACCTACAGACAGCTAACGATACCGTTACAGCGCATTTCTTATGTCTTCACACAAATCCCTTCAACTTGGTTGTGTCCTTCAACGGAACTAGGAAAACAATTTATTGTCTAATACCATTCGTTGTCAATACGTCCGATAAAATAGCTAATTTTAAATCTATTAGTGACATCGATCTTATTTATTGTTAAGTCAAGGAATTTAAAACTCTATTACACTTCCATACGATTAAATGGTCTTATAAAAATAGCGATCTGATGATAACAATTCTGTGCTCTGCGAAATTCCACGAAATCTTCAATGTTCTACTTGAAGAGACCATCCAGATGTGATAATGATTTCCCTTCCATTTTTTCTATTACTTACTTTTCATTATTGACTATTAAAAAGTAATTTCACAAATTTCTTGAGCGCTTGCCTTGGGATGCCTACAGTATTAAATAATAAACGGCGCAATCGAAGCGGGAGAATTTGGAAGAAGTCAAGTAATCTTTTGAGCATTTACGATTATGTTTCTAAACGGACGGCAATATATGGAGATAACGGTGTACTTTCGCAGTAAAATACGGACTGATGGACGGAGTGAATATTTAAAAATATAGTGAAATTACAACCGCGCTTGCGTTTTGAATGCAGGGAAGAAGTAAACTCTTACGTGAAATGCATTTTCTCCATTTTACATGCTTTCCCTAAAATTTCTCAAATTAAATTCGCGCCATTAGATAGTGAACTAAGAAGTCGTGAATGTTCTTTGCAACTCTTAGAAAAGCTCCTTACAAAGAAATTGTTTTGGCATTTGACAAAACCGCATTCTATTAACGTCTTATATATTGAATCGAGATCTTTCTTCGAATGTCATCTTGTCTTCGGCAAATCGTTTACTACATATAAACCTTTCGAAAACTAGTCATCCATACAGGATTTAATTTTGATATTTTCCTGGGAATTATTTTTAACCTTTTTGTTAATAGCCAGCTATAAAAAGGGTCTTAACATTATTATGAATTTCGCAGTTTCCATGCAGACTTATTTCAAATGCACGATTTTCGTATGCGTAGATGTCACCATCGAAATATGATTTTCTTTGTGCATTGTAAATTTTAATTCTATAGATCTAACTTGAGGGGTAGCCATCGAAGTTGTGTTCCAATTATGTAAGCGAATAAACAAACAAACAAATGAATGAAATAAAGTAAAAAACATTTTTTTTTTTTTTTTTTTGTTAATTAAATATTACATTAATTATACGTTACTTCGTTTTCTGCAGGTATGCAACATGATTTCCCAAAATGACAAAGTTTATGTCATATAATAACCAATGTTGTAGCGTGTATAAGAAAACCTCATCAACTATCTTAAAAATATTAAGGCGAACAACTGCAACAATAGAAACCATAGGACGAGAATGTAATTGAATATAAACCGAATTATTGTAACAAATCTACTGAATATTATTGCGTAATAACTATACATTTATATTAAAATGTAATAATTAATTATAATTTAAAAATTTAATTTAAGCGATAAAACAAAAGCGTCAAAGATACGGATTCAACTAAACTTATCCTAACATAACATAAATGTGTTTATTTATGTAAAAAAAAATAAAAAAACAAAATAAAAAAAAAAGAAGAAAATTTAAAACGAAACTGCAGACAAAACATTAAGCAAAAACCACAAAAAAAAAAAACATGCGAAAAATATACTCTCCTATCTTTACGATGACGTCATTATTACGTGAAGTAAATAAATAAGAAAAAAGGAAAAAGAAAACAAAAAAAAAAAAACAAAAAAAAACGAAAACACAAGGATATTAAATAGATTTTAGGATTTCCGTAACTAAGGCTTAAATAGGGTCTGTTTTCTCTTTTCATTATTTTACAATTGATGTGTAATATTTTTCAATATTTTTGAGAAATCATTAAGTGACGACGACTACATATATAAAAGCTCTTTTTACCAAAACACACATTTTAGTTTCCTAACTTTAGACTGCATTGATTTGACTTTTTCCCATTAATATATATTTTGTATAACTCATTAAATTACAATAAATAAAGTAAATGAAAAGGAATGTGTGCTTCATAAGCATCATTATTCATATATTCTAATCTCAACTACTATCATCTTTACAATAATAATGGTCAACTGATAATTTGTAATTTTTTCTTAAGTAATTAAGATGAAAATTTATTTAAAATTAAGTGACACACTCATATTTTTCATTTTTTTTATTTTTATTTTTTTTTATTTTATATTTTATATTAGTTTAAATTTAAACAAATTTTTTGTATAACGCAATAATGATTTTAAATGCAGGAAAAAGTCTAAAATTCTTTACAATTTAAACGCTGATAAGAAATAATTTCATAACAATAAAAATAATATAAATAAAAAGTGTAAAAAAAAATTGCTAAAGATTAATAATGAAATTGGAGGAATTTGGTTCGCTACTGATATGCACTCTATAATAATATATTTTTGATTAAATCGACTATTAATCTGTGATAGGTATGCAGGGAACTAAAGCTCTTAATGATTGCTAAAAGACTTTGGCGAATTCCGTGCTGAAGCAATTAAGGTGACAAAAGGGACGATTGTCGTAGGGAAAGAACGTAATGCTGTTACATGTACCGTGGGGAGGTAAAGGCTGTTTATTAAATATCTTAAAGTTGATAGATTTTCTATAGTGAACGTGAATTTCAAAGAATATAATAAAATTATTTCCATATTAACATACAATTTCATTGGTTTGATTTAAGATATTACGACAGAAGGTTTTGATAAGGACCCATCCTTTAGTATACCGAAAATGTTGGTTTTGAGCTTGTCTGTCCGCCTGATGCTTATCTACGTATATTGAGGTGCTTTGGCGCAAGGACGAACGCTATTGAAAATGGTTCGGATCGGGCTGCTTCATCGATCACTAACAATCACCATATAACGCTTCATTTTGACAAGTCGTTAAAACAAACAAAACTCTCTTACTAATAGTATTTCGGTATTCGCGCAATACTTTGAATCGCTTGCCCTACCTTAGGGAAACTAAATCTTTATGCAGCAACAAAGCTTAATTTTCAATACTCCTTGATAAAAATTCGTTCATAATAATAATTATCGTTTCCGAATTCGGGCTATGTAAGTCTATTTTTTGGATCTCAAACCATATAAGAGTTCTCAAAAAGACCTGAGTTTTAATATCTTATGGTGAAAATTTGTTGTTAGTAAATGAAACATAGGGAATTTGGATCACATAGGCTTACTCTTCAAATCGCACTATATATAAAAACTTACCTGGAAGCAAGTCCCCCTATGGCGACAAAGTCTTAAGTGTGATTTGTCATGACCGGAGCAACGGTGGAAAATAAAAAAATCGTTGACAAGTACATTTGCTACATTTAGGCCACCGTCACGTTTGAGTATTCTTCCAATATGGGGGATTTCATAAAAGTTGTGCATTTACCTAAAAGTAATGTATACTTTTTGGTGTATTATTAATTAAGCAAAGTAATGCAGAATGTCTAATAGTCGACCTTGCCCGACTATGCAATTTGTATTTATCTCTTTGATTGTTATTTTTATATGTACGCCTTTTGTCGCCGACTGTTATTCGTAAGCTGAATTTCGTGTGTGTGTGTGTTGATTCGTAGTAGATCCAAGTATCATTGACTGTTAGCGGATAATCACAGTGCAATAAATCTTTCTCATTCACACCATCGAAATCGAAAGAGCTCCGTCAATTTTTCCTTCTTTCGCCCATCAGACGTCAACTTGCCATCAACTTTGAATACTTTTCGATGTGGTGCAGTCGTTTTATTTACAAGCTGTCGCCAAAAATCAAATCAGGTAAATGCGGTTGATTGGGGAACTCATCGCTTAGCTCAAATTTTTCCGCTGGCGCTGCACATACACCTATAGTTGATTGGTGAAAATCTTCGGCAACTGACCGACGCGTCGACATTCGACGATAAGTTAGAATACACTGATGGTACCGACTTAAGGAACTTTTAGCTTTCTCTTGCAGGTTTTCAACTTCCTCCTTCAACGGCCTCCTTCAAATTTCACCTGTGTGACCAAAACTAAAAACAACATCCATTAAATTCCCTCTTTTCAGCTAAATTTTCGCGACAATAGCTGATCCAAAGGTGAATAGACAAATGAGATATTGACTTAAAATTTTGAATACTTTACCAAGCTTCTGATTTCTATTAACTCTAAGCATTATGAATGAAATGACAAATCTGAAGAAAAAAAATGTTCTTTAGCTATGACTTACATAACCGTAATAAAGCTTTAAAAATATATAAAAAAAAAAGACGTAAGCCATTTAGAGATCTTCCCTCCCTATCAAGAAATAGTGGGAGAGCAAGTAAACTAAGGAATCATTTCATTTTAAACACAAGTTACATGATATTTTTTATTTAATTCTTTATCAAATACATGCAAACAATACATATTGTACATAGATTAAAATATTTCACATAAATATTTCGCTGAGTCGTAAACATCTATGTAATTAATCGTTTAAACAATTACAGAAAATATCCATTTAGAACAATGTCCCCTTAATCGAGAAATTAACAAAAACTGTAAACATGTAATAGAATGCTTCAAACCGATCCCCGTCCTTAATAATAATAATAATAGTTTTTCAATATATCTCAACATAATGTGAAGACTTTCTTCTTTTTTTCCTTTTTTTTTTTACTTTACATCTAGAAGCGTTTATAAAAAATTTATTTATTTATTTATTTATTTTTTTTATTTTACATGTTTTGAAATAATTACAAGTACATGCCATTCACCAAGAAATCAGCTTCGTGCGCGTAAGGGGTTTTGCCGCCCAGGCGACGAGCTCTCCGACCCACAGTTCTTAGGCGGCAACCAATCAAAATGGCCAGAGCGGCGGTTATTAGGACGCCCAACGTTAATGATAGGACGGCGCCACTCGGTCTGTCGGATAGGCCATCATGATCACGGAACTCCATAGCTAAATTTTCATGGATTACTTTATATTGTTCATGGACGGGAGCATAAGCAGCTGCTGCAGCATTGTGATGCACGGCCATTGCTGCTGTTTCCGATGGAGTTTGAAACTTTTGTACAGCGTACTCTATGCTTTTCACTGATTTACTTTTGGTTTTCCTATGTTTGCGGGGCTTCTGAGAAATTCAAAATTAGTTTATAAAAATCGTTCAAGAATTGTTAATTTATATCATTTCTTACTTTTTTGGGAGGCTCTGTCGATTTTTCTTCCTCATCGTCATATTCGTATGAATTTCCCACGAGATTTTCGTGTGGTACTTTATCAACTTTGTCAACAGAATTTAACTCATTGATTCCGGGTATCGAAGGAGGTTTGTTTTGCTTAGTTAGACCACTTAAAGAAGACACTTTTGTCTGATGCTCTCTCTGTTCGTCCTCTGCGATAGCTAATTTTTGTGATTGTTGCACGTAATTCGTTTCTTCAGGAACAACTGGCATTTGTTGCTGTTGCCCCGGAAGATTCAATTGTGATTGTTGATTTTGCTGCTCACGATTAATAATTGCCTGCTGCTGCCAATTACTCTTAGCGGGTGGCATTAGGTGATCCTGATTAATAATTGGCTGATAAATCGGCGCTTGAGGGGCGTAAAGTCCACTCTGTTCCAATGTTGAGCTATGAACACCATTTTTATCGCTTTTATCGCTTACATAAGCAGTAAATGTGTCGTCATTTGCGTTAGATGGTGCATTGTACAAGACATGGGCATTAACGTTAGGTTTATCTGCATTCGAAATTGTTCCTATACAAAGAAAATTAAAAGGATTTATAGAAAAAATAAATGAAGAATTAATTCTCTTTCTTTCTTGCATAGCAAAGACATAGAAAAGTAAAATTTTTGTCATTAACGAAAAATGCAGTTTTTACCTCTCAAGCATATATTGGGTCTTTGGCTGGATAATTTCATTTTGTTGATCTATTCTATGCTATGAAAGAAGCCCCAAAACTCTACCTCTCTCTGTCTCTGTCTCTGTCTCAACTAGTGGATGGAGTATTATTAATAAGTGCAAAGCTAAGCTTGAAACATTTCATTCGCGTTTGATTTTCTCAATCTCTTGGAAAATGTTAAAGCAGCAGTGATTCATAGCTTCTATCGATTCCAAGTTGAAAGTTCATTGACTTTGTTTTGCTTTTCTTCAGAACATGCCATATTTACTTTTTTTAGGTCGAAGATTATTAAGTTTACTATCGGCCCTGCACTAGTTCTGTAAATGTAGCGGTGTTTGGAAATGGACGACATATTCTTTTATCATGTTCGCGTCGGGTTAATTCAAACATGTCTCAATCTTGGGCAAATATCCGCGACGGCCCTTAAATTACGTAATGTTTCCACACTAATAAGAAATAAAAGCATAAGAAATGAGGAGAATATAACGCTTGTACTTGATCTCTTAATTATGGGCAGCATTTTTTGATTGCATTTCACTTTCAAAAGTTTGACAATTTTGCCATGAATTTTTGAAAAAAAAAATTCTCAAAACAATGAGCTTTCATTCGGACGGCATAAAACTTTGCAAAATTGGAGAAAAGACGAGTTATTGAAAGGGAATTCCGATGATCCCTGGCGTTATACATAAATTCAAAAATCTTCCATAAATAATAGACTGTAACTGTCGATCGGAACGTTCTTTGCATCGAACTCTTATTCTTAATTTGCAAGTGTATGCACAGTGAGAGATTGGAAATTTTACATTATCCATATATGTAAGTTTAAGTAATTTTCTAAACACTATTGTCCTGCTTGTTCGCCTATCTATAGCTCTTGTCTAAACATAGTTTATGACCTAAGCATGAGTTTGCTTATAACTGGAAACGAGGAAGCATGTGTGGACATTAAATTTATCCATTTATTGATATATATAGCTTGTGGATTCCCCGCCCACTAGTCCGTCTAAGTGTTATTCGAAAAATAATCTAATAATAATTAATAAACACCTTCACATAAATATGTAATTAATTTAAATTATTTTCAATTGAAGGCATTTAAGAAAATTTATTGCAAAGTAAAAGAAAATATATGTAAAACAAAAAAAAAAAAAAAAAAGAAACCCATCGCATATTAAGCGTTTTTCAACACAATCATTGCCTGCAACGAAACCAATTAATCAAACTGAAGGAAGACGAACAGCAGCGAACATGCATGAAGACATAAGCGCAAAAATTTGAAATTGATTGCATGAGTACAAAAAAAAAAAAAAATGTCAGAAAACGAACTGAGAATGACAAAAACACATCTCAGGCAGCCCCAACAATGGCTATTAACCAGCCAGTAGTGCATTCTCGCATCCATGCATGCACACTTCATATTCATATCCCCCTTTTTTCTCTTCTTTTCTTTTAATTTCACAAGGAAGCAACATATATATATATATATATATATATAAATGAAAAGGCAACAAACAGTAAATTTTTTAATTGCAACCAAGTTCCCATTGCATATACTCCCCGAATGAAAGATAATTCGTAACAACATGTTCCGGTGTTGTGTGAATTTTCGAAAACAAAATTTAATTTATGAAAACTTGAAAATGCTTCGCTTACATAAAATGTTTATACAAACGCAACGCGTCACAACTAAAGTGCTGTCAGTTGCCCTTGCGTGACATATATATAAATTTTATATTTTCATTTTATCTCACTTCTCCGACACTATTGCAATTAGTTAAACTAGAAGGGAAATTAATGCGAAGCATTTAACTTTTCAGACATTTTACATTTTCGATTATGTTTGCTGGAAAGTTTATTTACCTCGTTTACGATTTTGTAAATTTTTTTTTTTTAATTCAAAAGTGTGCCTCGCTTTTAAACTTTAATAATTAATTAAAAAAAAAAAAATTTAATTTTTATTGCATGCGAGTAAATTGATATATTCCAAGTCTCTTCCTGCTCTTATAAAATTAAAATCTTTCCCTAAGCGATGCACACGGTTACACAGTTCTTACACAGAACTTACCATCATTTTCAACGTTACTGTCTTCGATTTGTTGCTGAGAAGTTAAGACAACTTTGCGATTTTCCCAAGCATTGGCATCTTCGCGATTATTCACCGAATGTTTTATGTCTAATGTGTTATGAGATTGTTTTTGTTGTTGCTGTTGCTGTTGCTGCTGCATGTTTTGTAGCTGTTGTTGAGGAGTTTCTTGTTGCATTGCAGCTGCAGATTGATACTGGTTAGCAAGGGGTAAGGATTTTGTGTTCATAGCGGCATTTTTTTGTTCTAATTTAGTGTTAGAAGCCGCACCAGCAACTCCGGCATTGTTACTAGCATTAGAACACTACAATTGTACATAAATTTATTAATAATTAAGAGAGTTACTAAAGACCTTTCAAATTAATTCTTAGGTAAGCAACATCTACAGTGAATACGAAAATTGTGAAAAGTATTTTGATAAGTTAAAATTACTATGAAATTTTTATATAAATAAATGTTCGTATCGAAAGCTGCTTCATTTTTTTAAATCTCGGTTTTTTGAATATTAAATGTCATCGAGCTTAAGAGAGGAATTCAAATTTGCCCTGCTTCTGTATTGACTTTAAGATGAAGATAGGAAAAGTGGATGAGGAGGTGTAAGTGAAATGGTTCAACAATTTTTGTTTCCGAATATAGTCGCATAGCAGGCATCGAACATTGACGATAAAGCAAAAATTTGCTCAAAATTGAAAATTCATATTTTAAATGCGTTCTTCTTGAAACCGTGCCATAGATGAAATTGCTGAGAGAGTTGCGTGGGATTTTTTCGACAAACTAAATTTTTTTCAAACGTCACCCTAACGTATTCCAGTTGCAGTACCGGACATATTTACTTTGTTGTGTGGATGTAAGCAACTTCCGCAAGGGCGTAAGGGCGACCCATATTTCATTATACCGATGACATATATTAGATACTTTACACTTTTCCCACTGCAGTTATTCACTCAATTTGTTAATAATACTCCGAAAATTATTCGTAATATTTCTGTAAATGCAAAATGTTCGTGAAAGACCTTATATTAAAGGAGTCAACTAAGATAGTCTAAATTTCGTTTCGTAAATTTAGTTTACCTGTTAAAGATCTTATTGTTTTCCAGGTGCGCTTGTCATAACAACCCACAAGCTCCATCTTGTCGCCACATAAGAAAACAGACTTGTGTGATTCAATTTCTCTAAAGCTCAATTTTCATTACGAAATGTGAAAAATTATACCTTTACACCTTTAAGGCTACTTTTTCATTAGAACCCCTACGAGGGTTGAAATAGTTCTACGCCGTCCAAGTTTGGGAAAATTAATTTTCATGTCAAATTATTATTGTGGACATATTTTGATCAAGAAGTATTGAAAATGAGGCCTTTTTGCTAAATAAAGACTTAGCAAGGGGTTCAAAAACTTGCCCCATCCGGTCCAAACTTTTCATTCCAACTTGGAATGCCAATTTATTATTATTAAACAACTTTCGCCGTAAAATTTTGAGAATTACGTTATTCTTCTTATTTTGATAAGCCGTTGTATGTGGAGTGGTTCGAGATTATGTCGACGTACGTCAGTGTATCAAATGTTATCAAAACATCTCAAACGTTGTGGCCTGTAGGTTGGACACAAAAATACATGGATAAATATCGGAGAGACGGACAGACTAGCTTAAATCGGTACAATAAAAGGTGGGTTTCTCTTAAGTCTTACGTCCACAAAAACTTTTTGAGATCAAAATATTTGGATTGTTATTTTCCATAGCAATTTTTTTCATGGGGTATCCTTCTTTTACTCGATAGCCATCAACTAAAAATTCGCATACGCACAAACACATATACACATTTTCATATTAGTTGTAGCAAATAATGCATCTTTGCCCAACGAGCAAAAGTTAACGGGCAGACATGGGTAGATGGGCTCAGAATACTGCTCTGATTAATATGAAATGTACTTTTTAGCATCAATAAAACTTTAGTTTGTTCCTTCCATATCCTTTGGTAGTGATTGTAAAATATGATAAATTCATTTGAATTTTACCTCAATTCCCTCGTCACTGCCATCGTCACACTGAGGTATACCATCACAAGCATTATATACTGCTATGCATTCTCCGGAATGGCAAGCGAATTGAAAACGACCACAGGTTTGTGTGACATTAAGTACTGTACATATGTAAGAAGACATTTGATGGATTATAAAAGACATTGAATTAATACTAAAGCGCATTTAACTAACATTTTGCCTGTATACTGCCAGAGGTGGAATCGATTGTTTGGACATTATTCACTGACACTCCTGGAATCCTTTGTATATCGGGTTTGATTATATTGCTTGCACTTTTGGTGGGTGGAGGGAATTCGAAATTTTTCTTTTGCGTTTCCTGTTTCAGTTTTAAATTCGTTAATTCCCATTCTTGTTGCGATATTTTTGAGATGACGCTCTGTGTTGGAGGCGCAGATGGGCGTGATGTGACTATCTCACTGACATGTTTCACTACGGGTGTCAGTACAGCACTTGTATAATTGGCGTGGCGCGTAAATTTACAATGAAAATTTTCCGGTGATCCGCATTCGAATAAATAGCAATAGCCGTTGTTCTTATTCTCAAATATGTAAACGTCGCATGATTCCGTCTCACAACACAAACGTTGACATTCTTCTATTGTATCCAATTCCAAGCCTTGCAAATATTTACCACCTATGGCCTGCGATTCACCGGTACGTATGATAGTATTTTGATGGATATCAAATTGACCTGAAAGTATTTGGGACGATCTTATTATTACCTTAAATATGCATAAACAGATGTAATTATGGCAATAAATTTCTTGGATTTATCATTGGTGGTTACACAAGTGTATCTTAAGCTAAAAAATCCCATCATTATCTCATAACGTCTTCAGTTCGGGGCGGAGAAAGAGGACAAGGAGGAAGAGCGTTTTTTAAAGGAATCAATAAACACCTGCTTGGTACAGGGAAGGCTTTCCTTTATTTTTTCTGAATATTTTCAAGTGAAATTTTTAGGTTATCTCTCGACCAAATCTAATTCCTACGAGAAGTTTATATTCTATGAAAAAATACCGAACATAAAGTTATAATGAATTCGAAAGATACTCAAATGATGTTCATTTTACCGGCAGCAGAGAAAAATGGATTTCCAGATCACTTCTTCCGGATTGAGTTCAATGTCAAATGTTAGACGTTTTACTATATTTAAAAATCGTTGATTTTTGAAATAATTCCTAAAGAATAAATCCTAGAGGACACTTGACTGGCTGATTGAATTTAGGAATTTAAGTGGTTCAGGTCGGCGTCGATGAAAGTTGTAGCTTGCTTTCAAGCAGGGCTCACGTCAGAGATCGCAGTTGCCAACTACATAAGGATAAGATGGGTGATTGTCTCTCATCCAGATCCTTTAACGATTCTGTTCGTATTTCTAAAGCCTTTCACGAAAGTTTTTTAAATCTCTAGAATCGGTATATGAATTGAGCTCGTTCGGACCTTGACACATTCTAATATGGTATACGATGTTTCCTTATTATGGTTGTTTTAATAAATATTTCATTGCGTCTTTAATTTGTTGCTTTCATAAGAAAACTGTGATCACGTTTTCGCCTTAAAGCGATCGGGATTAGTCAAACCTATTGATTTCTTTTTTAATGCTGACCTTACTTATTTCGGTTCTATTGCCTTAAAAGATGTCTTGGAAAGCGATATTAGTCAACTTTTGATATAGGATGAATACGGCGCTACGGGAACGATATGAAGTGAATTACGGTGCAAAGTTCTCGTGATACAAAAATCAAGAATTGTCCTCTCACAATTGTGGCGAACAGCTTCAGAAAAACGACGCATTACACTCAGCTAATATTTCCTATTAACAATTTTAACCTTGAGCTTTATTTTATTCTTTGATCATATGACGAAATTCTTGACATTGTATAGTGCTTTGAAATCTTCATTTAAGTAAGGCAAGGTAAGAGATAAAAGTCAATCTTTTTTGTAAAAATTTTGACAAAAAGAATTTTGAGTTCGCGTTCAGTTCGCACTAACCTAAACATAATTCCAAATCCATCCGTTTTGCGAGACGATGTGTGTCTGTCTTGCTGCCATTGTTATTTACGTTTTCTCTGTTTTGCTTGCTAACGTGTTGATTCGATTTTTCAGAGGCAGAGTTAAAACCGCCGACACTTTTGGCTAAAATTAGGAACACAATTGTTATTGTTGACGCGACTTTTGAACATCCTTTCATGTTTTCCAGTTTAGTGTGTTCGTTAAATTTTTTCCAAAAATATTATATATGATTATTTCTTTGGCTTTTCAAAATTAAAAATTTTTTTTTTTACCTAAAATGGAAAATCAATGAAATTTTATTGAAATAAATAAATTTTCTTGAGAAATTGAACATTTATTTAATCTTTTTACTTGTTAGTTGGTTAGTTAAACAACAAAAACAAATTAAAATTTCCTATTATCGATTTTTTCGTAATAGTCTTTACAATGGGGGAATATTTCTTGCTTTTTGCAAATGCGTTTGTATGTATGTACCAATGAACGCGTAAACAATAATGTTGCATTTTTTTAAGCAAAATATTTAAAAAAATTTTTTTTCTTTTTTTTTTTGTTGTTATTCTTTCTCTTGTATACATACATATATATATATATATTATATTAAACTTTTATTTTATTTCATTTACGTCGTACGTATACATATTTTGCACACTTACTTACTGCTGCTGGACACACTGTGAGCAAACTTAACAAACTAATGTAAAATATTGAAAGGAGCAGTTAGTTGGTGTTATAAAGTTCGTTAGTTATGTGCAATCTGTAGTCATGTAGATTTTATTTACAGAATGTTAGAAAAAAAGCCTGCCGTTCTTCTCAAGGTTTTGTTTTTCAAGAATAGAATTTTACGCCTTGCCCTGCCATGTGCCTTGGTCTTGAAAATGCGCACATATTTCTTTCTATATACATACATATATAATTTGTTTTTAAATTAATTTTCCTTATCTGTTAAATTTTAAATCTTGTTTCTGTTGAAACATTTTCACGCCAAACTTATTCATGTTAGAGATGAAAGCTTAAAGCTTTGGGCGCCGTCTTTAAGGCGAAGAGATGCCTTATTTTCGCTGTGCTTGGAGTATGTTTAATCTTACGCTTTGTCTGATATCTGAAAATTTTCAGAAAAATTAAATGAAAATTTTTTTAATTGATTTAATTGCTAAAGAAGAAAGTTTCAAGTAAATATATCGATTTTTCTTCAGAAAATTGATTTTTCTCAAGCAATTTATAAATTCTCAACAAATCAAGCTATCATAATTAAATAGATGTAAATCAAGGTTGAAATAAGTCAAGCCATAGTCAATGATTAAACTTAACACTGAATATGTCGTAAAAGCACTTACACTTAGCCATTTGAGTGAGAGAAGCTCGATACGTAAGCCTAATCTTATCGTCCCTGATTCATAGTACAGCTACACATTAGGCAGTAAAAGAGAAGTAAGAAATTTATCTCTGCTTTGCCTCATATATTCATTTTCCCAACTGTATACATAAAAACTGGAAAGTATTCTGTCCGGTTACAACTATTTCCTGCTACGTTTACAGTAACTGGTCGTTTAACATCTGGCTTAAGTTGCATATTATTGCTCAGTTTTCTGCATTTTTCCTAGTGGACTAATCAAGCCCCCCTTTTAATCTAAGTTTTGACTTATTTTAATAATAGTCGTCCTGTTTATTTCTAATGTTCCTTCCTAGATGATGATAATACGTTTGTCCATGATTTGTCCAGGTGTTCTTGTACACTATTTATGATGAAAAAGGAAACATAAAAATTCAACAGGAACATTTTTAAATGATTAATACGGAGTGTGGCCACCATCTACTTCAATATCTTTCCAAGCTTTCTTGGCCAACATTAAAATGGTCAGCCAGTATTCGAGTTGTCAAGCATTCGCCCGCTTCCAAAAGCTCCCAAAATTGCTTGTTTGCTTAAATTCGATGATCAATCTCTTCCAGGCTTATCTCCCAAGCTAGTGTCGCCAGATTTGAAACGAGCAAACCATTTCCTGTTCCATTCCATTTTCATTCTTTCCCAAAATCGTACAGCATTATATGACGAATATGACTATGATTGTTGACACGAATTTTTGTAACCTAAAATTAAGAGGATATTTTCATTCATAGGGTTATAAAATACGGTAAATATAGCACGTCAAAGAAACGCCTGATAATTATGCACCAACACAATAGTAATCGTGTCGTTCATTCAACAAGAAGTTTCAATTTTTTTTTTACCTGATCCTTTGGGCAAACTTACATTGATGAAATGGGAGCAAATGTGAACTGTGGAGATGAGTAGGGACAGTAACAGTAAACTAGCATCGCTAAACTGCACTGATGAAGGGCATTTATGCTTTGTGAAATCTATTATAATAAATCTTAGAATTGAAAGAATGGAACCGGTCCATCTCCCCAAATCTTATAAAGGATATATATATATCTTAATCACCGTGAAATTGTGAATCGATTAAGCCATGTCTGTCTGTCTTTGTGTCTGTGATGTGTGTGCTGGCGACATTGTCCGGGTCGCAAAAGTGAGAACACCGACCTCAAATTTGTTAGAAACATTGGAAGTTTTCGCACCCACGTTAGTATTGGGTATGGGCCATATTCGTCATAGCACAAGCGCGTAGACAGCGCGTAAACTGAACGCAGTTTCGTTTCTCTTAGCAAAAATTTATGAGTTTTTGCTCATTCCTGACAAATTATGAAAGGTAGAAGGTTGAATAGTTTGCATATGCAAAAATGGCAAACAGTCGGCCATGCCCACACAAAATGTTTAAAACTGTTTTATACGTTCCCGAAATGAAGACACATTATCTAGCTAAAAATGTCTTAAATCTAAAATAAATAGAACGGATACCACCACGACGGGATGGATGAACTTTTTCTCAATAATATCAGCGATATGGATATCAAACCAAAGGACTTGGAGAGTAGAATGTGAATGTGAAGCTGAGCTTGTTAATTCTAAATTAATAATGATGGACACCTTTTCTTAATAACACCTTTTAGTGAAGTAAGAGATGAAAACTAAATTTTATCCCATTGACTTTTTTATAACTGTGAATAAAAGCATGGGACGCTAAAGATTTTAATGGAGATGGGTCCCAGCCAAATATAACTTTATTATTTTATTATTTTTTTTATTATCTGTTTACTATAAATAAGTAAGTATATGGGAATATATGGTTGCTACGTCGGAAGTAATTGAAGGCGTAGTCCGATTCGAGCCGTTTGCAGTAGCGTTTGTCCTTGGGCCAAAACATATCGATGCGGCACGAATGCACCCAAGATGGACGGACAAGCTTAGATTGAGTCGAAAAGTGATTCCGAATGAATCGTTATAATGAAAGTTGGACTTGTGTCAAGTTCTTTCGGGTGTTACATACATTCGTACAAATTTAATATACGCTTGCTTCACAAATAGTGCCGAGCACAACAAACTTACTAAGTTACTACAAATAAAATCCCTTGTCATTGCTGAGCTGCGGGAACTATACTATTTGACAGGTGTACTGCATGTGTGCAATGATAAACACGATTGGAGTGCGAGCGACTATATATTTGTACTGCTAGTTATTTCAGGTAAATGTCAAGCTGTGAAGTTTTTAAATGACTTTCGAAGCAAAATGTCTACACGGGAATATTCCTTTACTGTTTAAACCAATTACCATAATATGTATATTAGCAGACACTTATCCAATTATTTAAAGTAGAAAATCTCTTAATTATACAATACTTTCGCTAGATTATACTTTTTAATCTCAAGTGTTCGCAAACTGTTTTCCTGTAAGTTATTTACTTAGTTCTAAGTATAAAATATGAATCGGATAAAACATTTATTTTTTTTTTTTTGTTTTTTTTATTTCAGTTTTATGTTATTTCGGTTAATTTAACATTAGTTGGAGAGAATTGAAAACGTACAGAAAATCTTTTAACCATTCTAGGCTATGGCTAGGCTATGTTATTAAAATAATCTTAATTTTATGCGCATGTCCTTCTAATTTCCTTTAAATAACTTTCGGCTTTTTTTTAAATCACTTTTTTTTTTTTTTTTTTTTTTTTTCTACCAACTTGCATGGTCTTTATACCGAAATTTATGAAAACACATGTTAATGAAAATTCTCGTGACTTACAGAAGTATATAAGATTGTGTATGTTTATGTGCATATAAGTATGTTTGTGCAAATATATATATATATATATATATATATATATGTTTAGTACATTTGTATATAACAATAGTTAAGAGCATGTCAGTAAATGTAACCCTTGGTTAAACAGCAAAACTCAAATAAAAGCATACTCGAAAGTGTAGAATTCGCAAGCAGAGGGTAAATAATGCTGTTGTGAAAGGAAAAAATCCATTAAGGGGCTTTGCACATATTAGGGAAGAAAAGCGTGAAGGGAAATTGTTGGTTAAAACAAAAAAGTGTATTTCTTAAATGAGAAAAGTAAAGCTAAGAAATAAATAAATAAATAAAAAAATAAAAAAATAAATTTAAATAAATATAAATAAATAAAATGAAATATACCTATATATATCTTAAATATAATTAAGCATATATATGTATATATATAAAAAAAAAAAATATGTTTAATTATTTTTATATAAATAATATTAATATATATATATATATATCATATAATAAATCAGCAGCCAAGATCACAGACAGACATTAACGCAATAAAAACAATAAAAGCATTTACGACATTAGATATGTAAATTGAAAGACACATTATAATAGAAAACGGACGGAGGTTGAGTGAAGGAAAAGGACTATACCTATGTATACAGTAAATTCTATGCAAGAACCAAATACACATCTACACTTGCATAAATAGTATATAACGTTTTTGAATGTGTGGGTGAGCATATATATATATATATATATATATATATATATACGCTATGCTTTATGTTGATTTATAGGGGTTGTTTGCCTATGTAATGTACAAAGCATTTGGAGCCTACATCCAGCAAGCATGATTCCCATATACATATATATATATATATATATAATATGTATATATATTTATATACAAGTATAGATATATATAAATATTTTATGTGCACACATATATATATATACATATATATGTATATATTCACTTGCTGACTGGCTTAAAGCATAAACATTTGTAAAGGGGATGCTAACGAGGGACTTGTACTTGACATGAAACGGTTTCTAGGGTTTTATTGCTCAATTTACAAGTGTATGCGGTGTCTGTTTTGTCTTTTTTATACGTTTTTCAGTCTAAACAAATAGAT